CTTTCGTGTACTCAGTATAAGCATTTAAAGATGAATGATAAACAACGTCTTAACTTAATTTGTAACAGTTATAAGACTTATCTGGCGTCTATTCTAACGGAATTCTACCAAATATGTGATTTTTATTTCACTGCGTAAAGTTTATGAAGAATTTAAAACTGAAGTTCTAGGTAGGTAGAACCATGACAGTTGTGATAAGACAAATAAGTAGTACTTTACGATAAAAAGTATTGTTTTTTGCAGTACATTGCACTCGATCCCACCGTTTATCGTCTCATAGTATTTTATTATTATTATTTCCTTGGGTTCCGAGTGGAACAGAGGACTTCAACAACACATCTCCACTTTGTTCTATTTTCTACCGTCCTCTTTAGCTGCGTCCACGATTGCCCATAATCTCTCATCTCCTCCGCACCCCAAACGACCTCCTCTATGTCACCCTAGCACCGACGACCCACTCGTCACTTCCCATTCCAATTCCACTCGAGCAGCGGTCGGGTATGCGATGTCATTCGGTGGCCTCCTCAATGTATGCCCAACCCATCTCCACTTTATCCTACATATTTGTTGAGCAATAGGCTCTTGGTTAGTTGTTCCCATAGTTTCTTGTTGCTTATTCTTTCTGGCTGTCTATTTGATCTTAATTATAGAGCCAGCCAGCGAAGGCAGCTGTTGATGAAAATCTGCAACCTGTTGGAAATCCTTTTCGTGACACGCAGTACAAGTTTCGGACCAATATAGAAGTACTGACTGACTTCACATTGGTGTTGAAAATGTGAATCTTGTTCCTTCTGCTGAGTGCGGAAGATTTCCAAATTGGTTTCAGGTTGATGAAGGCATATCTCACCTTTTCGGATTCTGACTGGCCAGTTTTGACATCTCTAGCCGTGCCATCCGCCAGTAGTTGAAACGATGCTTCCTAGCCAGATAAGTGAAGGAGGTAACTTCTGTTAAATCTCTCCCGTTGACGGTGATTGGTGCTGGTTATTGTTGTTGCTGTTGTTTGGTCATTTTCATCCCATCCGTCTTCTCTGTGTTCACCTGCAGTCGTGTTATCGCTGCCCGCCTCTTCAACTAGTTTGTTGGTTTTCGCTCGCAAGTCTTCTAGTTTGTGTGACATTAGACATATATCACCTGCGAAGTCCAGATCTTCCAAAGTCTTCTTATCAGTGGTCCAGAGTAGTCCTGATCGTCGCTCCCCACAGCCTGACGCATAATTCAGTCCTTCACAGTTAAGAGTATCATCGGTGATAACAGGAAGGCTTGTCTTACTCATATCCTCATTTCGAACGCCTCGATGGATTTTCCGCTTTGCATTGCTTGACACGTGACACTGTCATATAACTGTGAGTTTGATAAAGATTTCGGGCACCTCACACTCTAGTGTTGAAGTAGTTTCCAAATTACTTCACAGTCTACGCTGTCAAAGGCCTTTCGGAAGTGGATGAAGTTGAGGTAGAGGTTTGGCTGCCATTCTATGCCTTGTTCTGTGATGAAGATGCGTAGAGTTGCAATTTGATCAGCACATGATTTGCCTTTCCTGAATCCATCTTGTTCCGGGCTGGCGGAGTTCTGTATCCAGTGCATCCTTTATTCACTCCAGGATGATGTGACTTAGTATTTTACTTAGTATTTCGGTCGTCACATAGTAATGCATCGAAACTATAATAATCTTGAGGTCTGCGCATTTTTGACAGTATCTTCAGTTATCATAGAATTTTTGTCATTAAAATTATAAGTTTTAGGTGACAATTGCTTAATGCAGAATGAATGGATCGAGTATAAACTAAAGTGAGCGAACTGCATGAAGTAATACAACTGACAGGATTGAGTAGAGCCCTTTTCAAGAGTTAGTTTGTAATGCTTTGGTTTATCTCAAGTGTGATCACGGATTGATGTTAGTTACAGAACCATTGAAAATCAGGGAGTAGTGGGCAGCTTTTTCGTCGTAGTTCGGGACTCTTCGGCAGTACTAAACTACTGAGGTTGGAATTCAAAGGTCATTAGATAGGGTAACAATGGCTGTATGGTATTCAAGCTTGCCTTGGGTTCACAAAACCCAGCACATGCCTACAGCTGAAATGTTCCAAACTAGATTTTCAGTCTACGGTTAAGTTTGAGTAGAGTCCAACCAAAACTAAAAGGAGGTCGAGATCAGTTTCATAAGGAGTAGAAGTGCAATAGTGAGGAGGGAGAGAAACAATAATTAAAAAAAAACTGAAAAATTAGGACTAACAAAAATTACCCATCTAGTGTTAAGACGAGTTCGGTTCATTGTAGATTCAGTAAATCGAAAAAACATTTGTCTGTAAAGTTCACGATTTAGCATGTAGATTGCCATAACTTCTGCAATTTGAAGAAGTTTTATTCGTACTCCTTTGTGAAGATGTCCTTCACCTGCATACAAATGACTGGATTTTCCTTACAAAACCAGTGGTTCGTATGAACGTGAAGGATAAGCTTATACTGCTGATTTGGTCAGTGTCTATCATTTCACCTGCTCCTGTACAGCTAGTCATATTGTCTGTACGCACCGTTTGTTATCCAAACCTATCACTGAACATTTACTCTCATGGTTTTTACAATGGAGAAAATAGATACCCAGTAGTTCTATTCTGGAGCTTCCGATCGGCTCCACGGGCTTAGCGACCCTTTAGTAGAAATCTTGCTAAAGGACTGAGAACTGGGCTTCCTGAAATATCAGAAGCTATGTTAATCCACATGTTAATAAATCCTGAACTTTGCATATTATTGAATTTTTTTGAAAACTCTGTGATTCTACTATTAAAAGTTGCCTACTACATACTTCCTATAAGAGTACGGAGTTAGCAAATGGGTTGTTATTGCAGAGGAAGGCTTAAGTTATGCTTGCTCATTGTCTTTTATACATATGATTTGATGATCCCACTTTTGTTAAGTAGAAAAACTTGTTGCAATAGTGCCAGGGGAATAATAATCGAAGTATTCAGACAATGATTACACCATTACAGACAGTTAAATGAACCTCTATTCTTTTTGTTTTTTCTAATAGTAACTCACTATAAGACTACAGTCATAGTTGTATTTTATCGATCTTTTCCAGTAGTTCAGTTTTAAAAACTTTGTGTATGTATGTATACATACACATAGATAAGGGACACATTTATTGAACAATGTTATTTTAATCATGTATAAGTACAATTGTGAAATGCTTCTAAAAAGAATACTTGAGAAACGAATCAGTGATTTTTTCAACTACTGATGTCAATTCAGATAGTTCTATCAAAATATAAAAAAACAACTGAGAAATTGTTTTTAGGAAGGTAAGAGCATTCTCTCCACGTCAGCTGTTTTTCTCAGAGATATATTTTATATCTATAAATGGAAATAAGACTTCTTCATGGGCTAATTCCTAACCCTAGGTGTTATCTTGTGACTCTGTCTGTCTGCTTAACAAAAATGACAGATATTTGCTGATGGGTACCGACACTGCTATAAGGAACTGGTAGTTTTCTCGCAGTATTTTTAAGTAGGGAACCTATTGTGCATACCTGCACTTATTTAAACAAAAAGAAATGTGAATACATAGTGTTTCCAACTAAATTTTCCTGGTTTACTGTGACTGGTCGATTCAAGGTCATCATATCAGTCATTCGACTCGACCAGTATTTTGAAGCTTAGCAAATTATTTTGTGGCCACTGAAAGATAGATTGATTCAAGTTATTATTGACCAGGGTAGGAATATCAAGACTGACTTCCATTGCTCTGAAATCAGTGTGAGAATCTACTGCACTTAGCATTATTATTGTTTCCTTTAATTCCTAGAGGAACATAGGGCTCCAGCCGTGCGTCTCCATTGCGTCCGGTTCTCTGCTAGAGTCTTCACCTGGCTCCAAGTCTGATCCCACGTTTTCATCTCTTCTTCACTTGACCTCCTCCATGTCACCCTTGCACTGACGACCAACTCGCCGCTTCCCTTTCAGGTTCCACACGCGCAATGGCTTGTCTAGTGATGTCACTTGATGGTTTCCTGAGAGTATGGCCAATCCATCTCCATTTCTTCCTGCACATTTGTTTCACAATCGGTTCCTGGTTGGTTTGCTCCCAGAGATCCCTGTTGCTGATCTTTTCTGGCCATCTGATCTTGAGTATTGAGCGAAGATAACTGTTAGTGAAGGTCTGTAGTTTGTTTGAGATGGTCTTTATGACGCTCAGTGCAAGTCTCTGATCCGTATAGTGAGTAACACTGACTTCACATTCGAATTGAAAATCCGGATCTTATTTTTGATGCTGAGTGCTGTTGACCTCCACACAGACTTGAGAGTAGTGAAAGCTTGTCTCGATTTTCCGATTCTTGCTTTGATATCCTCGTCAGTTCCGTCCACCTGTAGTTGAAACGATGCTTCCTAGGTAGGTAGGTAAAGGAGGTTGTTTCTTTCCGTAGGGAACAAGATTCAGATTTCCAGCACGAGCACCAAGTTAGTGCTGCTATACCGTTAACAGACCTGGCGCGGTACTTAGAGAACTTCCAATACGCTGCAGACTTTCATCAGCAAATGCCTTCACTGCATATTGAGGATCGGATAGCTGGAGAGGACTGGCAAAAAGGCATTCTTGCAACGAACCTACCAAGAAACTATTCTTTTACGAAAGAGCCGAAGGAAATGGATATGGATAAGGCACATGCTGAGGAGACCACTCAGAGAGACATCACACTCCAGGTCTCTGAGTGGAACACGAATGGGAAACAACAAGGTGGGTTTGAGTTCGAGGGTGACGTAGAGGTGACCGTGGGAGGAGGAAGCCAGAGCTTGTGAGCAGTCATGGAGCTATTTGAAAAGGACTTCAGAGAAACGAGAAAAATGGAGAGGTTTGGCTGAAAGATTATGTTCCACCAGGAACTCATGAGAATAATAAAGAAAAAACAAGACGCAAAAACGCTCTATATGCATCTTAATAAATCCAGTCATCTCATAGTTATATTAATAATACATTTTTCTAATTTTGTTTTAAATTCCAGGCGTAAACTCCAGTTGGGTGCTACGTTTAATAATGATAGAGCAGCTGAGCTTAAAAGACTTTTTGTAATCGCTATGCCAACTGTAAGTTTATCTTTTTATTCTTCTCTGTTTAAAAATGATGCCATTATGTAGAATTTATTATGCCTCTAATTCAACCTAGACTAATCATACGATGTAAACTGTGTCCATATGAAGATTGTACAATTAAATCGCCTCTGTGTAATAATAATGGCAGTTTTATTCTGAACAAAGTGTATATATACGATACAGAATTTTCAACTCGGATTTACCTACTCTTTATATAGAATATCAGGTAACCAAATGAGTTCATCAGGCCCCCATATATGAACACAGACAGTTACTAAAACAGCCATGTTCTGACTGGACACTAGTAACTGGTGTGATGTGTCTAGTCCTTTCTTTGGTGCAGACTGAATTCTACTGTCAGTCAGGTTTGCAATGTGGCCACCATTCTAGGTAGCTCGTCCAAGGATTCCTGCCAATCGCCTTCAACTATCTAATACGGCCATGGTCATTTTCTTATGCATAGAACACCAACTTAATGAAATGTGGAGTATAACAGAACTATTCATCTGCATTTCCTTCTATATATTTTTTGGGTATATATATAGATTGTTCGCTGGTTCGTTTTCGGATTTTTGCCTGCTGCTCAACCTTTCAGGCTGTCTGATCTTCAGCAAAGAGCGAAGAAAGGGTAACCTGGTTGCAGGGTACTGACTTCCAACTAAAGCGGAAAGACACTGCTTGTAGAAGATTACTTCTCAGCTTCCAAAACATGGTTTTAAAAAATATTTTTTTTCCTATTTATTTTGTATTATAGATGATAACACAGCTTTTAAGATTTATCAATCCTTCAATCAGTGTTATGGTTTGTGGACACTTAAGTCGTGAGGAGTTGGATGCCGCATCCTTAGCTAATTGTGTAAGTCCTTCTGTTGTTACTTCTTCTCACAGTGATCAGTTAATTTGATAAAGTTGTAAATGCAACCAAATGAAAGTAATCTTTTAAATTTGCTGTAATTAGCTAGTAAAGAGAGCTAGATACTGCTGCAGCGCTATTTCAGTGCTTTCTACTCATATCGATTTGTGATATATTCTGCTGTTACATATGGACAGTGAATATTGAGCTCCTTAATAAAATGAGAAGTTATTACGAAGTACTGTTGTCGTAGTAAAAAATATTTTAAGATTTCGGTTCTTCATCTGTAGTAACTGAAGAATGGCATTTAACGAATCAGATAGAGAGAAAATCTTATTATTGAGTAATAAGTGGTATATGTGTCGATGACACAGCGGTTAGCATGCTCGCCGACCACGCAGGTGGTCCGGGGTTCGATCCCCGGCCACAGACGCACTCTTTTACTTGGCTGAGCCAGTAGTAAGACTGGTAAAGAGGGAAGGTTGTGCATGAGGCTAGCAACCCTATCCTGTAAACAAAAATCACCACTGCTACAGAAACTTCAAGCCTGTAGCTTGAAGTCCGATGTTCCACTGGGAACGTAAAGGAATAAAAAAATGGTATATATACGAAACAAAATAATTGAGCAAAGAATATCCTTTTCGATAATTTCCTCTTCTGGCTCTACAATTATGTACATCTGTATATACACAGAGTATTCTAGAATAGTAGTCAATATCAATATTAGTGTTTCTTAAATAATATCGATTTGTTAAGTAAGACTAATGGAATTACAGTTCAAGAAATATGCATAAGTTAAAATAAGCATAAATATGTAATAGCAAATAGAACATCAAATGAAGTTAAAGAAATTGCCACAACAAGCTGAGGATCATTGAGACCTTGAAGGACAGTGTCTGGACCAGCTTCTTTTGGACACATAAATTGGGCTTCTTGATGTGGATCCCAACAGCCACAGAGACATTTAGTAAACGAACTGTTAATGCAAAGTGAAGACTAGTTGGTATGTGGTAGATGACTTTGAAAGCCTCATTGACAGAAATCTTGTGTTCTTTATCCACAAGATGAGATAGAATAGCGCTACGAATAGATTTTGTTTGTCCTTTACTTAACCACGCAGAGTGATGTTCGAAATTCGACGATAAACACGCCTAATTGTACGGCCTGTGTAACTGACTCGACAAGAGCAGTTTAATTCGTAAATAAACATGGAAGAGGCGAAATTAAGTAGTTTATCTTTTATTCCCGAACTCAAAATAGGGGTGGTTTTGAAGACACGGATTAATTCAGCTGCAGGGAATGCTCTTTTCACTGTATTCCTAAGGCGTTGTGTTAGTATCACGCTGATGTTATCCCTGGGGAGCTGAACTTGTAGGAATAAGCCCTGTTGGTACCTTTGGCTGCTTTGATGTTTTAATCATATTCTTTTCAATGAACTTTTATGGACAACGGTTTTCACTCAGCAACCGTTTAATATTATTATTAAGTTCCTCATCAAGACGTTTATCGGAACAGATTGCTCTTGCTCTGTGAACCAAGTACTTTATCAGATTGCGTTTGTATTTCAAGGGCACGAAGCTGAAAAAAGGAGTATACTGACCCGTTGATGTAGGTTCTCTATATTCACTTCTTCCTGTTGTGCCATCCTATTTTCTGGTCATAAAGACGTCTAGAAATGAAATACTAGAGTCTTTTTCTTTCTCAATAGTAAAATTTAGTGCAGGATGAACCTCGTTAAATTTATCCAGGATGTTCTTTGCTTCCTCCTCATTTTTCATAATCAAGAGTCCATCATCCATGTACCGACAATAGAATTCAAGTTCATCAATTACAGAACTCTGATGGAAATGATTTTCATGACTGTCACTCTTAGTCTGTTTGTCATATCTAAGTACTGATATGACATTGGTTTCGAAAATGGGAATCTTGGTCTTTATGATGATTTCATCAGATTCTTACACTGATTTCAAGGTAATGTGTCGCCTCTCCGAACCTACCTTTTACATCCCCATTCATGCAGCCCGTAGTTGAAATGATGCTGCATAGATATTTGAAAGAAATTACTTCCAAACGAAGTAGTTAGAGCGAACAATTGTTTCCAATTGATTCTTCTTCCACCTCTGCAATTATAAATCCATTAATTTAGGCATACAACGGCCAAACAGTAAAGGCGAATTAGAATCATATCAGAAAGTGTATTGTGGAACAAGTATGAGATGGGATGGAACGATCGTCAGTTAGTTTTTTAATATGTATGGTCAATGAGAACATGAGATAAAATGAGATGAGGAAGGATATCCAGAAAACTTCCTAAAAAACTGTATGTCAGTACCTAGAGATAGGGTAAAGGTGGATACCGTAGACAAGAAAACTTTGTATCATAAATTAAGTTACAAAAGGAAAAATTGCAGCTGACATTCTAAAATGTCAGTCTCCGGAGCAGTAGAGAGAAAATTTCCTGCAGCTAAACTGGTACTCAACTTCTCAACTAAGCCAGTACTCACACAGCAAGTCAAGGATAAATTATCAAAGATGACCTCATCAATGTATGTCTATGAATTCAACTGCTCATGTATAGCTAGTTACATTGGCCGTAACCAGAGGGCTTTATCCATGCACGCGCGTGAACATGTACCTGTATGGTTGAGTAAAGGGGTAACCAAATGCGTAAATAGTGCAGTCTTAGCCCACTTGACAGATACTGGACACTCGATGAAACTTGAACAGGTGTTCTTAGTTATTTACCGCGTTCCTAGTAATCTATCTAGAGGAGCTCGACTACGTCTTCTTTCAGTAGCTGAATTGGTTGCAATTAATACCATAAGACCAACTCTTTGTGTACAGAAGAAGTATGTTCAACCTCTATGTTTACCTTGGCCTACAATAAAGCCAACAAATCCTCCAAAAACACTAGCACTTTAAATTCCTATCACAATTTCTTTTCTTCTTCTTCTTCTTCTATTCCTTTGTTTCATTGACAAATGTTCATTTTCGACTTTTATGATTTCATGACGTTTCTTATGATTTTATTACCTCAGGTTTAAGTAGTGTTTTTCTAACCTGTTATCGTATTTACAAAATCCCATTCATTCCACTTCATTATATTATTATTATTATTTGACAATCACTCACCAACATTACTTTTAATTTTACACCACATCATCGTTATTATTTTACAACCATTCTTATTGTCGTTATTTTCAACCTTGAACTTGTGTCTAGTCCACCCCGTTCGTTGGTTTATTTTCATATTGTCTGACACACCCTGATTACACTCACTTCCGAAACCTGTATTCTGCTGTCTCTAAGTGATGTCAACTCATGATGAAATCCTCCATGCAATCAAACAAAATCCCTACAAAGCCAATTCTTGAAAATATACATATGTCATTATATTATTCCATCTCATTTTATCTCATGTTCTGATTGACCATGCATATTAAAAAAACTAACTAACGATCGTTCCATCCCATGTCATACTTGTTCCACAATACACTTTCTGATATGATTCTAATTTGCCTTTACTGTGTGGCTATTGTATGCTTAAATTAATAAATTTATAATTGCAGAGGTGGAAGAAGAATCAATTGAAAACAATTGTTCGCTCTAACTATTTTGTTCGGAATTAATCATGGGAATATTGAATTTACTAGAAATGTCTTCCTTTAGATTTCTCCAGGTGGTAGTTATTACTGCCTTTTTTTGTTGACTGGTTATTTCCATGAACACTGTCTTCTCTAAGTTCACTCAAAGTCCTATCTTTGCTCCTTCTTCCACCATTTTTTAAATTTTTCGCCCGTACATCTACTTAAACATTCGCGTAGCGACTGAATTGATTTTCTTAAGTAGAGTTGCTAGCCCTATACTAAACCTTCTGCCTTTTTCCAGGCTTCGGACCAGCTGGCAAGTTAGTAAGCAAGTAAACTAGGAGGGGTAGGTAGGTGAAAATCACATCCAGTATGTGAATAGTTGATATTTGTTTCAAACGAATCTATACAAGGTAACATGCATTCTTGTAAACTAGGTCATGATTAGATTTTCTAAATGGTTACATAATTACATTCCATTCCATTCACTTAGAAAAAACACTTATCTATGCATATTTCTCTCTTCCAGATAATCAATGTCCTTGGCCTTAGTATTGATACTGGATTTTCAACTGCTTGTGATACGCTTTTTTCTCAGGTCAGTTAACAGCTTCCTTTTTTCCAATCTTGACTGTCAGGTCAGACATTATGTGAACACACTTGCATAATTTTACTGGACTATCCCCAAGAAAGCCGATTTAATGATGACTTGATAAGTTCAGTTCGAATGAGAAATAAGTGTCTATCTCTGTATTAGGAAAAATTGTGTGAGGTATTTTGAAATTCTGTGATAGAATTAAAGAGGATAGCACCACAGGATTTACTGCTGTGCAACAACCAATTCATCCGAAGTTGAGAACTTCAACTACTGACTCCGAATCTGCATACATTTTACGAATATTTGTCTTTAAAGTCCAAATAGTAAATTATTATTTTAGAAATTCTGAAATGCCCAGTTTTAATGTGATAGAAATGTTTGAAATTTCGTTTCTTTGCATGATGTGGATTGTTCAGCTTCACTTAAAGTAAGAACTCTCAGTTTAAGTAACCATTCTGATCGATAACGTATCATAACCTAGACGTAGTTTGACCATGGGTTAATATCAGTTAGAGAGACACTGTTGTAGTTTTGGACTCATCGGCAGTACTCACCCACCGGGGTTTGAGTCCAGGACCTTTTGATTACAAGCCCAGTTCGTACACCGTTGAGCTACTGGTACCCTACTCAATGGCCCATGAATTCTAACTTCTACCAATTCACGATGTGTAATAAATTTTAAACAATGAGGATTAAGAGCAAGTAGTAATCAATATTTAAGAAACTGGAAACATTAAACTGAAGTATGCCTGTTTGTGTAAAACCCAACGTTACAATAATGTGTGAATAATGCTGTTTCTACCATGACTCAATGCCGAAGTAATGGGAAAATAATACTGAAAGGTCACTGCATGAACTGCATTACCAAAAACCAGCATAATATTTCTACAGAAGTGTTTACGCACCGACTAAATTTTCAATCGCACAAAACACTGTTTCAGCATTCAAGCGTATTATCAACTCATTGTTTGGCATTACTGTCGGCATGGGATAGAAATATATTATATATAATAAATGACATCCACAAAACAAGCTGTAAGAATAAGTACCATTGGTTTTCAATGATTCTCCAATTTTTGTCAATGCTTTGATGAAACCTTCACTGAAATTAATCAAAACTACTAAGAGACTCAAAATATGAATAGCAGCATGTAAGTAACTATAGGGTACATGCCCTGAAGCTTTAATGAGAAATTCTTTACTATGGTATCCCCCATTTCAAAGTGAAGAGGATTCTCGTTGATTAAGTTGGTTGGCGGTGGTGAACTAACAGGAGTTAGAATTCACAAGTCACTGAACTTCACGCTGGGTGTCTGAATGGTAAACGGGCTCGGCTTTGTAAGCTGAAAGTCCAGTTCTTCTTGATTTTATAATGACTTCGTAACTGATGTCAGTGAGCCACGAAATCTACACTAAAATTAATCGAAATTCTTTCAAAACTTGGAATGCAGAATGTTATTTTTATCACGAGTGAATATAAAGGACACAAATATAAGCAGACCATTATGTTTTTTGTGAATAATGTTCTGTCTCTAATGAATGCAGTCTTGTATAATGCTTCAATGTAGTTAACGGTTACTAAAGTTTTATTTAAATGCCTTAGTGACTATGCGCTATATAGCTTTTCTAATATACCCTCGTTGATCTTCAATAAACCCAGTGACAGAGACTAATGATTTTCCATTTATAGGGTAAACCAGTCCGAAAATTAAGACAGCTACAGAAAAGTACTAGAATTCAAGGAATGACACTAGAATATCCTCACTTTGCCTAGACAAGACTTACTAACATAAACTTTTAATTTCATACTACCAGTTCACTTGATTAATTTAAACAATGCGTGAACAAACATATTATCAGCATAAAAGACCTCTCATATCTTTCATTTCATAGCTCTCCATCAGCTGCTAACGGCCTAAGACATCGGCACTGCATACTTCAACTCAAAGGGCACAGTTGTAGAACAAAAGCTATGAATACAAGACAGTTAATAATCTAACAACCAGAGGGTATTTATGTGTAATGTGATGGAATGTTAGAGAGGAGAGGGTTCCACAACTGTGCCCATTTGAAGTATGTTATATATTGCTTGCGATTTTAATGACTTATATTAAATTCTTAGTTTGTTAGCAGCTGATGGAAAGCTATGAAATAAAAATATGATCTCTTTAATATTCTGCAAATATGTTCATTCTTTCTTTGCTAAAAATAAAGTTCTAAGCTGCACCATTATGACTATATGCACCATATGACTGTATCCGTATTTCAATTTCTAATGAAAGTGCATCCAGTGTAGAAGCACTAGTGCTAGGAAGGTAATGTATAGATAGACCTTAGACATTAATACGTCGGTCCTAAGCATAGTCAGAATACATGATGTTCTTCTGAAGACCCAACCACTCAATGAATCATGTTAGAAAAGACTTTTATTTTTTCCAACACTAATAGCGATAAATTCTTTCATTCAGCGACTTGTCAGCTTCGCATTAGCAACTGTTCTTAGCACTTATTATATCCACTACTCGGAACCAAACAGCAATTTATGTCTTTACTTTCAGGGATTTGATCGATTTCAAGATCGATTACCAACTAGCTTCAGTTAGAAAGCCACTAAAAGCTAAGTAGTACATGACGGTTGTTTCGTCCTTGTTTGGGACTCTTCATCAGTGCCTGTCTACCACTCTGCTAGGGATGAAACCCAAGACCTTCAGTTTATCAGGTGAGCTCTTAGATCATTTAGCCGCTGGGACGGAATCCAGTGACCTATCAATTCTAACTTCTGTCATGCGTGCGTACTGATGAAGCCCATCAAACAAGGACGAAATAACCGTCTATTACTCCCTGGTTTTTACAGTAGTTCTCCGAATGAAATCAGCAGGTCACATGTTTAATCTGCTTATAAACTTTCTTCACTAAATATTGCTCATACTCCACGATCCTTTATTATTATAAAGTGTATCAAATAAACTAATGTTTTTTTAATTCCTTCACGTTCCCAGTGTAACATAGGGCTCCAAGCTAGAGGCTTGAAGTTTCTGTAGCAGTGTTTATTTTTACAGGATGGGGTTGCTAGCCTCATGCCCAACCTTCCCCCTTTACCGGCTTAACGAAGTGAAGGAGTGCGTCTGTGGCTGGGGATCGAACCCCGGACCATGTGCGTGGTCGGCGAGCGTCCTAACCGCTCTACCACCGGCGCACCAAAATTAATGTGATTATGTTGAAATAATTTACCAAGCATTATAGTATCGCTTTTATTCCGTAATAACTTCAGACTTGTGAATATATTTTTTATTACTCTTAGGCATATGGAAGCCGGTATCGTAAATTGGTTGGTACATTCCTTCAAAGGGGTAAAGTTGATTAATTAAATTGATTTAATATATTTATGTTATTCTGTTTAGCTTTATTCGTTGTATGCATCATATACTTGATACTAGTCTGCATACACTTAAATATTGAGGCAGTATTATTATTACTTGGTCAAGAACCGATAATTTCATCGTAAGTTCTTGTAAATTATTATTTCATTTTTTATTTACATTGATAATAGCAAACTCTCAGAGTTAACTTCTTTTTAAATGAAATTTGCACTACTTCTCTCTGACTACCAAGCTGATTGTGGTGAAAGCTGTCTGCAAGCCAAAATTATAGACAACAGCTTTCATCAATGTTACGTCCCAAATTGGGGTCATGACAGAAAACAATAACAAAGCTTAACCTTGAGGAAGTCACCAACCAATCACAGCAGACTTAGAGTGTGCAAATACGATTCGCAGGCATATGGCTTAACTTTTTGAGAAACAGGCAGTACAGAATAACCTTCATCAAGAAAACAACCAATCAGAAGACGTTGCTTCTCTGTTAACAATAACGCTAATAATAATGTACATAAAAATCTATAAATAGCTCTTGATTTTCTCAATAAACAATCCGTTGCCTTGCCCTTGTCTCCTTTCGTTACAAGATGGCATACTGTGGTCCAACATTTTGCAGTTTCCAAAGGAATCTGTAGAGGAATTTCTCATGGAATTGTGTAAACTGTAAATTAACCTGCAAGTTTCGAATTTGAATTATGGTATTTCCCGTTCGCTCAGGCAGCTAGCCGGAATTCGGGTGGTTTCAACAGATTCAACTCTCTGAATTGAGTCAGACGGGGCACACCGTTGATAAGCTCAGCTCGCAAACGGATGAAACACCCGCCCGGTGTTTAAATCATTTCTATCTGGGCAGCAAGCACTACTGGTTAATGTGAATGGTACACAACTATTCATATTAATCACTCAGTGCTATATGGTTTTAACTAACTCAATACTAACATATCTTCTTCAACTTAATGTAAAGTTGACAAAATCCTTAGAACTCTTTCCTTCAGTTTGTTCATGAGAAATTTCCTCCAAAAAGAGGAAGACTTCGTTATTTGAAAACAAAAGTACCCGCTTTTCAATAACTATTGAGTCAATTTTATCCCATGAATTGTGGCTGCGTCAACACTTTGCCTTCGTTGTAAGTAGCATCTTTGAACTAACATTTGAATATGTTGGTCGAGACAGGATTTAATGATGCCAAGCTTTGCAAGAGTATAAAGTCTTTGAGTGAGGTTAAACTATTGCAGCTACCATCAAGAACTTTTTGGGTACCCTCTAACTAACCATATGTGTCATTCATGCATTATGTATAGAATTAAGTCTGGCATTTCTTTAGATTTCCCTACAATAATTTGGGAAAATTTCCTTTAAACTCATTAAGGAGAGTTGCTTTGTGTCAGTTAAACTGCCAGTATGATGCGAAGTACAATTTATTCATACATTTACTGGTTCTAAGGCTTTATTACCCTGATTGATTGTTCAAGGATACTTATGAGGATCTTGGTGATGGCTCGCATAGTTTGACTTTCCCTGTCTTTGTAGTAGGTAAGCAAGAAATTTTATAATAGTTCTGAGTGCTGTTTGAATGACTGTAAAGAAAATAGTGATCCATATTCTTCTTCCTCAGCTCAAGGATCACTAAAACATTTTTCATGAAATAAGTACTTAAGCTTTACAAAAATCAGTTGGGCAAAGTAACCAGTACATCTGAGTAAGATCATGGTGCATAAAAGTTACTTAAACTGTTCTCTAAAGTATTCATGCACACAATTTCCCTTATTTTTCTTCATTTAGCCTTACGTCAGAATATATCGCATACTTCCTACCTGGTCTTGGGGTAAGTAATAATGATTCATCAGGAAGAGTTTTAAGTCATTCCTTCTTAGCTTAACTGCTTTTGATAATCTGTAATCGGAAATAAGCAAATTTATTTATATTTACAAGTCCTGTTTGATTTCGCGGCACAAGTATCTGTCTACATCAGTGTTAGTTGTCAATTTTTGCAAGTTGTATTCAAAAGTTATTAGTTCAGTAGAATAAAATAGATCATTGTAACGTCGTATATGAAATTTCGAAATGGTCTTATAAGCCGCATCGCCGTCTTTAACATAAGTTCAAATGTATACAGATCTGTTTAGACAAATTTAAAATTGTTATCACTTCTCCAACAACCTCCTTATTCATCTTATGGTTTTAAAGAAATTGCCAATGGTAAGGTTGCTTGACTTATTATCCAGTCAGAGATATCGACGCTGTGTTAGGTCAACAAATTATTGATTGAATAAGCAGGTAGATCCGCAGTTACGATCACGTTTTGTCAGATTCACCCAAAAGAACCATATTGCGACTTTTACTTCGTCTAAATAGTTAAACTAGGTTGTCTTCTCCGTATCAGTCGGGTGGAAAAGACAGCAATCAATAATTTCACCGAATCACTCAATCATTAGTGGCGAAGAATTTGTATACAGAGATAAGGGAGAATAGTTGCTGGCTAAGGTCTTAGCAATAAGGAATTCTGATAAGCAACCAACCAACCAACCAACAACTTACTGCCCAGAAAAGATGCAGAAGGAAATAAAGATAGATTAGACACACGCTGAGTAAATCTTCGAGTGACATCATACTGCAAGGCTGGATTGGTGGCAGTGGGTTGGGTGTCCAAGAGTGACATGGGGGATATAATGTGAAGAGGAAATGAAAGCTTGCAAACAGTTATACAGCTGGTCTAAAAACACTACAGAGATCAGGGTGAGATTGCAGTATGCCATTGAAATCCTGAATACTGTTTGGAGCCTAAGAGGGCAATAATAATAACAGTCATTTACACACACCCTGTATTTTGAGTAGTTAACAGTGAGGCGTAAAGACTTATCTATCAATAGGTAGAAGGGTTTCATTATGAGATGACATTAGTTAGAGAGACATAAGAAAACCTGCAGGGATTACTGGACAGCTGTTTCGTCCCAGTCTGGGACTTTTCATCAGCACGCACCGGCCACCAGGGTTTGAAACTAGGACCTTCTGGTTACAAGGCGAGTTCGTAGTCTCCATTACGCATACGATTTTATTTTGATAAATCACGCAGTGTTGTATGCTCTACCACAGTGCCCAAGTTTTCTACTTATATCAAGTTCGTAGACTATTAAGCAACTGGGACCTAATCTAATGGCCCATGAATTCTAAATTCTGCCAATTCATGACTTAGCGCGACCACTTCGCAATGTCTTCTCCGATGAGTTACTGCCTCATCTTTAACCTGCTGTACCCGACTGGTCATGGCTTCCCATTAGAACCCCAGGCAACTGCCTGAATAAAGCACAGAGGTGGTAAGTATCAGATCAATTTTTTTCAATTATTGGTTTTGTAGGGGTTGCGTTTGATTAGTTGCAGGGTTTCATGGGCCATTGGATCGAATCTCAATGGCTTAATGGTCTACTAGCTCGCCCTGTAACCAGAAGGTTCTGGGTTCGAACCCTGATGAAGAGTCTCAAACCAGAATGAAACAGCTGTCCGCTACTCCTTGCAGGTCTTCCAATGGTTCTCTAACTGATGTCAGCTGATTATGAAACCCTCCAACCAATCAAACACAATCCTCACAAAACCAATACTTGAAAACTTACATTTTACCAAAATTCTAAAAAGTCAACTACGAAATTGGGAACGCGGCACTGTAAGAGGTGATAAATGTTATAAATTCCGAAAAAATGAAAATGGATGTTGCTAGAGTTCTTTCCAATAAATATAAATATGAAGTAGTGACAAGTACACCCAAAGATGGCAGTCATCAGTGAATAATGTTGGTCACTTACATAATATTCAAACAGCTACCTTCCCTATGTAGGTAAAACTACTTTTTATTGCGCTGATCTCAGTAATGAACTTTTGATATAAAATTGCTCATTATTCCGATTCGAACTTGAAGTGTTTTGCTGAATTTAGCGTTTCTTCTGCTTTCAGTTTGATTTCCTATTTTTGACGCTTGCTCGGTACTTGCAAACGCAAAGTATTCTTATGCCAATGGTATATGCTTCGTTTACTGGAACAGCTATAAACATTGCATTTCAATACTATTTTGTATTTCGGATGAATTATGGACTTCGGTAAGGTATATATATATATATATAAACTTCATTTCATTCGTTTCATGTCTATTACACTGGTTTTTTTATGAGTGACAATGTTTAGTAAAAGCGTATTTTATTGATTATACTATTATTGACAGTGTCTGCTTTTTATGCACATGCTGGAGAAACGCTTCAGGAAGTATACTTAATCATTTCTTAGTTTATTTTTGTTTTATCGTACTTAAGGAATAATGGCACAAGTTAATATTACATGTATTTCTTTTGTGAAAGAAAAATGAACGAATAAAATGCGTGTTCTTTTTTATCACTCTTGAAAATTAATGTAATGCTCACTAGTGTGTGAATACAGGACAAAGTTGTCTCAGGATCTAGTGAGAGGTCGTGACCGGTGGGGTCTATTAGGTCAGGTGTAAGGACACATACTCACCAGTGACCTTGGCTGCTGGTGGCGCTAAATTTGTGAATTTACAGAAGTTAGAGTTCAAGTCCAAGTGGCTGAGTGATCAACTGGCTTGACCTCGTAACCTGCAAGAATCGGGTTCAATACCATGTGAAGTCGTGAGTGCGTACGGATGGAGAGTTCTTAGAAAAAAACAGCTGTGCAATACCCCCTGGTTCTCACTGACTTGCCAACTGGCCAAAAGTGAATCTTTATATCAAGTTGGTATGTGTTGGAATATTTACCAAATTTTTTCGTATAAGTCAGGATTTTATTTCAGAGTAAAACATTCAAGAAAAACCTATTTAGATTTTGCGTCTAAAAGTTTGCCATTAGTTTCTGTTTTGACACAGGTTTTTGTGCAACAGAAATTTGGTGAAAAGTAAAACAATGGATAGAATACTATTCAAAACTTCTAGAATGCTCAGAAGTAGACACTCAAAAGTGGCAGGGTAGCTTAAAAGCCCTGACTGTTAAATAAAGAGTAAAGCACGCAGGAGGAGTAACTATTTGCAATTGATGGTGTTCTCTGAGCTGGTTGGTTTAGTTGCGGAGCTTTCGTCGTCCTTCTGGACAACATCTTCAGTGCAATATTTAGCATAAAGTGAAATGATTTGAATTTCCTCAGGAGTGATATAATTGCGTCTCCTGGTAACCATCTTTACATATGTATTGACCATTTTCTATTGACTTGGATTTCAAAATTTCTGGTCGCAATTATATCACTCATGAAGAAATTTAAATCATTTCACTTTGTGCTAAATATGGCGATGAAGATGTTGTCCAGAAGGACGACGAAAGCTCCGCAACTAAACCAACTAGCTCAGAGAACACTATTAATTGCAAATCACCCACCTGAGCTACGATTCTTCTCTATTGTTTCAAAGGAGTAACTATTCTCAAAGACTCATTTGCAAGATGTTCAGCCGAATATATGTATATATATATTAATGTAAGCAGAAAAGTTCATTCGATACAACACACAGTGTTACCCTGTTATTAGTTGGATAACGTTTAAAGCACAGCTTATTGCTCTTAGTCATATTGTAATGACAGAAGATGAAAGCTATGGTATCTCTATATAGCCAAATTATGTACACCTTATCTTCAAAGCACAATTTGCACAGACCTTCGTGTTGTGTAACTTCTGGCCTTCATACTGTGTTTCTTTCACGTTTCCCATGTATCTCCACACTGCTGTATCATTTGCCTTCTCTGACATCAAGTGTATCTCTTTGATATTGGATGTTTTTATGCTGATGAACGTCTCTTTATATACTACTGATAAATCTTATCAGCAGCACTCGCTACAATATCACATCTGTTAAAATAACTCATACAGTTCAGGTTATCTTTATTCCTGTGTGTTCCCAGTGAAGCATAGGGCTTCGAGCTAGATGCTTGAAGTTTCGGTAGCAGTGATGTTTAGTTTTACGAGATGGGGTTGCTGGCCTCATGCCCAACCTTCCCTCCTTACCTGTCTTATGAGTGGCTTAGTGGGGTAAAGGAGTACACCAGCTGGGGTTCAAACCATGATCCAAATGCGTGACTGGAGAGCATTCTACCGCTGTGCCACTGGCGCACTACAGTTCAGATACTCAACTACAAATGAAACAACCCAACAACACACAAAGAGAGTTAAAAAAAACATTCAAAAGAGCCAGCAAGCAACGCAGTACTCTTGTCTTGATGAGAACAGGACAGAACTATATTGTGACCATCTTCTAGAAAAATGGATATCCATGAAATTTCATCAAAAGATGCCAACCCTCAACTCAGCCAACCAACTCTAAAGTATCCAATGAAAGCACAAACGAAACTCAGTACTCAGACGAGTTTGTATTCAACAGGTATATTGATACAGATAACATTTATCGATCAATAATAAGAAATTACCTGAACAAAGGTCAACAAAATAATCACTACCAGTATAAGTGAACTAGAGGATGAGAAGATCTCCAGAAACACACAGTCACGTTCAAGATAACTCAGACAGACGCGTGATAAACGCTTCAAATACAACCACACTTATACTGTTTTTTAGAAATAAAGTAACCGCCTTATAGCATCACATTGATCTCAGTAATATTAACAGTGTTTGATAGATATCCACTGCATTTGCTAATAATTACGCTTTGGTCACTTGACATATCGGCTTCTAACAGAGATTAAGAAATGTCACATAAAAATTGCTTTTTTTAGACGTCATCGAGACAGTGAGGGGGGGGTAGATGTATATTTTCACTGATAATTTATTCTAATCAGACTTAGTACCTACGTGCATAACGTCTAGATAAGCTACTAATCTGGTACACTGGTTAGTTACAGTTACTATGTCATCTAATTTTTGTAACAGATCTTTTCTGTGTTTAATAAGAGCCACTTATTGTAATACATTATTAGGTTGAATTACACTTGAAATAAATAATGAATTCTAGTTTTGTGATTTAAGTAGTCTTGTGATTTTATAGTCACATTTTTCTGAAAAGTCATATGCATACAATGAAATTGATGTGCTTAATTACTGATATTTTGAAACAGGCCACCTCTGAATGCCTTTATATAGTGACATCTCTCTCGAGTGAATAGTATTATGTCCATCCAAATGAAAAAATATTTTTTTGTTTACAGTTCAGTAGGCACTCAGTCTTGAACGCGTGATTTTTGTCCTAATTACAGTTAAGTCAAAGAGGGGTATTTTAACTAGCTAATTAGTGTATGCACAGAAGATGTTTTTTGTAAAATTCTGAAGGAGGGTTTTAGAATTTAAATTTTATTATTTTTATGTTGTGTTGGCTTATGACAAATTAAACGATGGTATAATGTATTATTTATATATATCTGCATTTATCAGTCTGCTTTTAAACAAAACTGTTTTTCAAAAGAATGGATACTGAACAAAGAGTACACTTTTCGATAAATTCATCATCAGGCTCTACAGTTATAAATATACATCATAGGGAATGAATGAATTAGTGTTATGAACAAAATTAATGTTGTTTAAATACCATCGAATCTATGAAATTGATAGATTACAACTCCATAGCATCAACATAAAGTAAGCTGAATGTCGGAAAAGTTAGGAAAGATAATATTACAACTTCATGAATTTATAGTCTCTACTGAAGGCCGACCGGGGCAGTAGTAGTGGCTGGCTGGACTTGCTTCTTTTGGACATAGAGCACTGGTTGTTTGAGGCGAATTGAAATAGCCTCTGCTGTTTGGAGCATACGGTACTTCGACGATTTTGGCAATTTATTAGGCACCTGGTAGATTATGGAGAAGGATTCTTCCACGCTGGCTTTGTGGCCGGTTTGCACCAGATGGTCCAATATCGAACTGTTAATGGTTTTAAATACACCTTTACTTAGCCATAGTGCGAGATGTTCTAGAGCATGAAAAATCAAGTTCCTAGAGCGACGGCCAATATAACTCGCTCCTTAAGCGCAGTTGAATTGATAGGTGCAATTTGAAGTGGCTAGTCTAGGTACTTCATCTTTCAGTCGAGGTAGCACCATCGGTCGTCTAGAGAATAATATGTGTAGTTCGCCAGCATTAAAAGTTCCTCGAACTGAAATTGATCAAGAAACACATGACAAGGAAAGCGAAAGAGGACTACTCACCATCTGTAAACAAGAAGCCACTTTATATATGACTACAATTCAAGGGCGATATACCAAGTGAGATAATTACGAGGAAATTAAGAAAATCAGTTCAAAGAACTTCTAATGCTGGCGAACTACACGTATTATTCTCTAGACGACCGATGGTACTACCTCGACTGAAAGATGAAGTACCTAGACTAGTCACTTCACATTGTATTTACCAATTCAACTGTGCTTATGGAGCGAGTCATATTGGCCGTTGCTTTAGGAACTTGATTTTTCGTGCTCGAGAACATCTCGCACTATGGCTAAGTAAAGGTGTAGTTAAAAACACTAACAGGTCGATATTGGACTATCTGGTGCAAACCGGCCACAAAGCCAGCGTGGAAGAATCCTTCTCCATAATCTACCGGGTGCCTAATAAATTGCTAAATTCGTCGAAGCACCGCATGCTCCAAACAGCGGAGGCTATTACAATTCGTCTCAAACAACCAGTGCCCTGTGTCCAAAAGAAGCAAGTCCAGCCAGCCACTACTACTGCCCTGGTCGGCTTTCAGTAGAAACTACAAGCTCATGAATTTGTAATATCATCTTTTCCAATTCTTCAGACATTCAGCTTATTTTATGTTGATTCTACTGAGCTGTAATCTATCAATATTATTGATTCGATGTTGTTTAAACATTAATTCATTGATTCACTATAATGTATATATAACTGTAGAGCCTGATGATGAAGTTATCGAGAAGAATATTCTTTGTTCAGTAACCATTCTATTATATAGGATGATTGATCCTCACGCAAAAGGTGTGAGTGGCTCAGTAACAGTGTAGTGACTGACAACAGGTTGCCTAAAATACAAATAGACAGTGGTTTATACAAACTGTAAGAAGGTGAACATATGCATATTTATCCATCAATTATGATATGTGCATTTTTTTATATTCTACAGAACAATGTACTTGATTGCAATAAAACTTTTCTATAAATAATTCACGTGTCGAATGTGAGATTATTTAGTCGAAATCAATTTTGTGTATCTTTACTGAATATTTACTATTGTTTTGTTTGACAGTCTGTAAATGGATACTTTTTCAAGTGTCTTATTATATAATGAGCAGCTAACCACCGCCGATTTATTTGCAAACTTTCAAATTAAACTTTGCTACTAGTGCACAGTAGCAGGCCTTTACTTGTGCCTTCTGATTTAAGGTTGGTGTATACTTGTAAATAAAATATCAAGTTTAGTGTACCACAAGTCATGAAGAGATAGTTGGATTTCCGCATATCTTAGAGGAGACAGATGTTAGTCCGTGAAGAGACGGATACAAAAAGGTTAGAATGGCATTTACCGACTGATGTCATCTCTGTCGTAGATGTATTATCCAACTATCAATCAAAAGACGTGTGCACTGCGCAGTGGTCTGCCCAGTTCTACTTTATGCCTGCGAGATATGACCATTGAAAGTTGAAGATATAAAAAGGCTAGGTATGTTTCACCACAGATACTTGCATTCTGTCTCTTGTTTTAAGTGGTATACTGTCGTGAGGTTAGGCGTAGAGTGTTATGTAAGGAAGGGAGGTGAGTCGATGAGCTTATAAAGCTATATCCATTGATTTCATCATGAACTGACATCGGTTAGAGCACTATTGAAAAACCCGCGAGTACTGAACGGCTGTCTCCTCCCTGTTTCGGACTCTTTATCAGTACGCACCCCCTGGGGCTCGAACTCATGCAATAAATTCGGCTGCAAATTCTGTCCATAGTGTAAAAGTTGTGTTCAGAAAAAATAGGTGTTATTATTTAATAGTTTAACAAATATAAATAGAATAATTTAGTAAATATAAATATAATAATTATTTTTTAATCTCAAATTTCAGTGTCAGAGATTACAGTTACATGGTTAAAAATAATATAATTATTGCTTCATTTGTTGTTTCTAAATTCTAGTGCGTCAGCTCTCTGTCTTTCTTTTTCGTTTGGATGCATGTTTCTATGTGAACTTGGATATATAATTACATCAAAAGTCTATAAAAGCACGTGGGATGGTAAGTTGACAATCTGGTTTTCTCTCACCTTTTTTGTTTGTCTGCATAAATGTGTTTAAATATAATGCCGATATGACAGATTGATTAATTGGTCTACAGGTATATCTATAAACGTGTATTGTACTTGAATGAATGAATCAGTCTAATATTTGAAACTAGTTAAAGTTGAACCATGCAGCTTGCTGAAAACTGTTGTCATAAACAAAGGATTTTAGGTGTAGACACTTTTTAAGTTTAAGTTCGGTTTCTTCACTGTTTTATTATGATTACTTTGGCCTCTGAGGGGGGGGGCATGGGGTTTCACCAGCACTTCTTCATTTCACCCTATACTCTGCAGTCCTTTTGAGCTAAACCCACAATTACCCATGAGCTTTCGTTTTCCCCTCACACAACCTTCTCCATATTAAGTACAGACGCCCAACTCTCAGCCTTGTATTCGTGTTCCCCTCGTGGTGCCCCTCAGTGGTCTCCTCAGTATGTATCTAATTCATCTCCCTTCCGTTCTGCACATTTGTTGGGGGATTAGGATCTTGGCTGGTGCGTTCTGTTTCTTTACTAAATGCATACGCTTCTTTATTCTGACTTAGAAAGTAAAAGGATTCAGGAATGTTAGTTTTGATTGCTGTTGTATTCACTTCCTTCATTTGGGGTCGTTGGGCTCAACTTGCTCATAAATTGGTTACAAATATTTAGGAATTAACTACTATAAGAAAAAGTAAAATTAGAACCTTCAGTCTTTTGAAAATGTGTATTGATATGTGACAAAGTGAGAAACGCATTGGTAAAATTTGTGCATAAAAAGCATTCATAGAATGGGACAATTAACTGGAAATCGCCTACAGTAACCCTATTTTACTTCTGAGCAGCTGAAACATTCAGATAAGAAATTCCCTACTTTCATATCAATAAGGGCATACCTAATAGTAAGAATTACTAATATGGATACATTAAGATGTGATTAACACTTTTTGGAAATCTAAGAAAATTTTAGAGGACATTTTAGGACGTTTAAAAAACCCGTTTTGTTTAAATTACCTATTTAAAAAGTGCTCAGTTATGTAAGAAAGTTATTGCGGTCTGTTACTAAAGGGCTTAAAGTTTAGTCCTAAGTATATTTAACTGAACAAAAGATGGTGCTTGTAAATAAGTCTTTCCATGGGTCTACTTGGGAATTTAAGCGGTAAAAAGAAAGTACCTGTCATTAATTTACTAATCCTCCTTCACATTTGGTAGAATATTAATTGCAGTATATCCTCTGTACTCTATTTTCTGTAAGAAGTATTTAACATTTAAATAGTATTGTTTTTGATGTAGTTATGTTCTCTGAGCTGGATGGTTTATTAGCGAAACTTTGATTGCCCTACTAGGCAACATCTTCGGAGCATTCTTCAATTTGTTGAATTGAACTTTTCGATTTCTCCACGAGTTTATAAGTCACCTCTCCTGGTGACCTTGAACATGACTGCTTGTTTTTGTGTGCCTTGACACTCTCTAGGCTACTTGTATTGGTAGTGATTGTTTCTTTGACTTGAACTTTGACCAATTGTGTGTGAGATTTTTTTCTTATCGATTGGTAAACTTTGTCTATGTCAATGTGTGTCGATTATTAATTGACGATTCCCTGGAGTACCAGACTTCAAAAAAATCTCGAGCATTCTTAATGTTTCCTCTATCTAATATTTGAACGTTGTCCCAGTCGAATCGATGTCCATGGTTGTCTGTATGTAGTGACATGAGGGAGTGGATGTCATGTCTTTTGACGGCTAGCTTATGTTCATGGATATGAAGACTAAGGGGATGTCGACTTCTCCATTATGTCTAAATGGCATTGCATTTAACAATTTTCCCCTGAGAATAGAAGTAAGTAGAATGAATCGAAGTGACAGTTTGCAAGTTACTTAGCTCTAGGTGTAATTTTATTAGAGTTTCCTTTGGAAATTGGAATTATTCGCAAATAATTTGCAATAATTTGAATTGAGTGGTGTCTGATTACTCATATCACTCAATCAGTAGTAAATGTAATTGTAACCACAGAAGACAAGAGTCAGGCAACAGATCGTTTATTGAGAAAATCAACAGATATTTATAGATTTTTATGAACATTATTATTCGTTATTTTTAGCAGAGAAACGGCGTCTTCTGATTGGTTGTTTTCCTGCTGAAGGTCATTCTGTACTGCTTGTGCCCATTTCTCAGAAAGCCAAGCCATATATCTGCGAATCGTATTTGCACATACTAAGCCTGTTGTGATTGGTTGTTGAGTTCCTCAAGGTTAAGCTTTGTTCTTGTTTTTCCTCATGACCAAGATTGGGATGTAAACATTGACGTCAATTGTTGTCTACAATTTTGTCTTGCAGACAGCTCTCACCACACTCTTTCCCCCGTCAAAAAGTTTGGACTGAAGTTGGCTTGATCTTCTTGGTGCTGGCATCATCGTTGGCTTGTCTCGCTCTATCAATTTCTGGAGCTCGCTGATGTTCACCCGCTTCTCTCTGTTTGCATTTTTGATGGTATATACTTGCCCCCGTCTCGCGGTGACCGTGTATGGTCCTTTCCACTTTGGTAGCAGTTTCCGCCGGTGTTTCGCCTATCTCTACATTTGACTTGATCTCCGATCTCAAATGCGGGGTACTTCTCCTTTACCCCCAGTTTGGCTTTCTCAGCGTCCACTTTCTGCTTTCGTTTTACGTTGTTGATGGCTTCTTTCCGCTCCGTCCGCCATCTCGTCATCCTCCAATGCTGATGGAGAGGCCAGGTCTTGTTATGTATCGGCTCTCACCACAATACTACAAGATCGTTTTATTTCGTGGATTCTTTTCAACTTTGTATATCCTAAATAAATCAATTATAATATATTACAAAGTTTCCTTACATACTTTTTGCAATGATTTCATTTTATAGATAGAAAGTGTCAGCAAAAAGCGAAATCAGAACTCCACCTCTTTGTCTGAGTACTATTTAAATAGTTACTCTTTTAACATTAGATAATCGTCTACTTGAATCATCTTTGAAGCTGTGTTGGTTATTCTCTCTATTCATAACTTAAAATCACTGTAAAAAGTATGTTAGGAAATTTTTCAACACATAATTGATTTATTGAGGATGTACGCGGTTGAAGACAGTCCACGAAATTAAACGAGCTCGTATCATCCTGCAAATATGTTCGTACTTTCTTTATTCAAACTAATAAAGGGGATAGGCGGTATGAACTTTACACTGTATGGCATCACATAAATATATTTTACTGAATTAGTGGTCTACCAGACCGTTGATGATGAAGATTTCTGGCCAACAATGACAGCAACAACAACAGACAACAGCAAGCACAAATGGGAGAAATCTGAAAGAAGCAACCTCCTTTACCTACCCGCCTACCTGGGAAGCATCGTTTCAACTACAGGCGGTCGAAAATGACGTGGATATCAAAGCGAGAATCAGGAAAGTAAGACGAGCTTTCATTTCTCTCAAGTCTGTGTGAAGGTCAACAGCACTCAGCATGAAAAACAGGATGCTGATTTTCAACTGCAATGTGAAGTCAGTGCTACTATACAGATCAGAGACTTGCACTGCGCGTCATGAACGGCACTTCGAACAAACTACAGACCTTCATCAACAGCTGTCTCCACTCAATACTACTCAGGATCAGATGGCTGGCCAGAAAAGATCAGCAACAGGGATCTCTAGCGATGAGCGAACCAACCCAGCAGGAACCGAATGTGCAACAAATATTCAGGAAGAAATGGAGGTGGATTGGCCATACTCTGAGAAAAATAACCATCAAGTGACATCACACGCCAGGCCATCGTTCTAGTGGAACCCGAATGAGAAGCGGCGAGTTGGTCGTCGGTGCGAGGATGACATGGAGGAGGTCATGTGAAGGGGAGATGAAAGCATGTGAGCAGACGTGGAGCCAGGTGAAAACGTTTTCAGAGAACTGAATACAATGTAGACGTTTGGCTGAAGCCCTATGTTCCTCTGGGAACTAAAGGAAACATTAATAAGACCGTTGAGCAGTAGTACATATTTAGTATTCCAGTTCCTTCATCACTGTGAGTAGGTTTAAATACAGCTGCATAAGATGTTCTTTTCTATCACATCAAAATTACTATTCTGAATATTTCTGAATAGCTTTACGTAAATTTTAAAGTAAATAATATAACATAGTCTGTATTCTTATGAACAAGATATATGTAATTGTAGGATTTGCCTTTCATAAAAGTAAACTTAGTGCATTGTAAGACTACAATATATGACCTCTGTTTTACTCAGGTTAGTGTTCGACTATAACATTGTCAGAATGTAACTCTTCTGGATGGAAGTGACATAAATGTCTTCGTGACCTACTTCTATGTGGTCAAATTTCTCCACCGTAATGCAAATTCTATGGATACCTCTTTCCTGATATAAAGTCAATGACACATTTTTGCACTCAGTTTATGCCAATTACTTCTAGATATAGCGAACTTTCTTGCTTCTGTACTTAGATTACTCTTAATCTCCTAGCGGACTGCCTGTAAAAGACAAGTTGTCGTGTCAACTTATTGTAGCAGGGTGAAGGTTTTCTGCCGCTACAATTTCACCTGAAAAATGTTTGAACAGAAGAAATTTTTATTAGAATTGTGTAGTATTTTGTGAAGAGTGTTGCAGACTGTGAACTATTTATATGGTATTGTTAGCCTGATCTAACCGCCATACTCTTTACATGTTGGTTGCAAGCGTCTACATTTCAGCCGAACTGCGTTAAAATGTTGCTACTATAAGAAGAGAAGAATAACTGGACGTGTGTGACATGATTTATTTTCTCTACGAGGTGTTCTTTTTTTGACACAGATTCCCCATTATCAAGACTTCATTGATTTAATCGGTTACTAAGAAGTTTAGCAGATATTTAAATGAAAGAACAGGTCACTTTCGGTCCTCCTAGTATGATTAAAAGAATATTCACATGATAAAGTTTGAAGATCTAAAATTATTGTGTGGGTTGTAAATATACATAAAGCTTCAAGGTACTGACGTAAATACTCCTTTATGGATACGATTTTATTTTGATCAATCATACAGTGCTACACAGTAATATTAACTGATGACGTTTCGAGCACAAATTATTGCTCATAATCGTATGAAATGATTATGAGCAATAATTTGTGCTCGAAACGTCACCAGTTAATATTACTGTGTAACACTGTGTGATTTATCAAAATAAAATCTTATCCATGATGGAGTTATGCTCAACCACAGTGCCCAAGTTTTATACTGACGTAAATAGTTATCACGTTTTTATTAAGTTTGACAGTGCACTGGATTTTCATTATTATTATTATTTCTGAAAATTAGTTGGATAATTTATGAGTAGAGAAAGTTGTTCTGTGAAAAGTAATTTAAGCGAAATAAAATGGAAGGTCTGATAGAATAGTGAATTGTTTCAAACATACCAGAAATTAACCTCTGGAATGGGAGGAGGAGACGTGAAGGTCTTAAAGCAAGAATCGGAAAGCAAAGTAAGCCTTCATCAACCTGAAATCAGTTTGGAAATCTTCTGCACTCAGTCATCCAGAATAAAGAACAAGATTGGGATTCTGTTCAACACAGATGTGGAATCTGTCACTGCTTCTATACGTGTCAGAAACTTGCACTGCGTGTCATGAAGAGGATTTCAAACAGAACACTGTAGACTTTTATCAACAGCTGTCACCTTCTCTGGCTTCATACTGAAGATCAGATGGCCAGCAAGAAAGAATTTGCAGCAAAACACTGTGACAACAAATCAACCAAGAGCCGATTGCTCAACAAATACATGTGTGAAAATGGAGATGAATTGGGCATTCACTGAAGAGGCCGTCGACTGACATCGATCGCAATGCAGGCCATCACTCGAGTGGAATCAGAATGGGAAGCAAAACGTGGGTCGTCAGTGTGAGGGTGATATGGAGGAGATCATGTGGCGAGGAGGAGGTGAGGTATTATGAGCAGTCGTGGATCTTACTGAAGAGGACAGCAGAAAATAGAAGAAAGTGGAGATGTGTTGCTGAAGCCCTATGTTTCACTCGTAACGCAGAGTGAATAATATAAAAATGGGAGGTGAACTGAAATGGAGCAAATGTACAGAGGACCCCTGAAAAGAAATTTGCAATCTTTAATCATCTTCACAAGAGATATAATGTTTCAAAAAATCCTATGAAAATTGTACGCTTATTAGAACATTTCTGTAATCATACAAATAATTCTCTGCTTGTGTTATCACCCAAGTAAAGTTTGTATATTTGGAAATAATAGAAAAAATTCTGTGACTCAGGATGATAATGGATACTGTTTGGTTTTTTCCATTCTTCGGGCTTTGATAGCGAACGTTTCATCAGTATAGATGGTGCCTTCTTTGGCACTAACTTCATTAAAGAAAAATAAAAAAAGAACCACCAAGCTTAGTGATGTAATCCCTAAGGATCAAAGTCATAGATCAAAGAAGACCGTTTTTATTCCTTAAGAGTTCCGGGTATCACATAAAGCTTCAATCTTGAGCTTTGACGTTTTCCTAGCAGTGACATCATTTTTTAATGGGTGAGTCTGCCAGCATCACTCCAAACTTCCTCTTTGTATCTGGCTTACTATCACTTAACCGAGGTTCAGGAGTGCTTTAGCCGGGAATCTAACCCAGGGTCACAAACGTGGTTGGAGAGTATTCCACTGCTGAACATGATGTATGCTTAGAAGAAGAATTAAAAGTTTAAGATTAGTGTACCAAAATATCGGAAAGTGTTAAAAACGAAATGGCCAGCAGTCATTTAGCGAATTTTTACTCCCACTATTCAAAGAAATCTGTAATATATGCAGCCGTGGAAGCTAAACGAAAAACCACTGATTTCAACCTTGCATTTCAATAAGAATTTCCCCTTAAAGTAAAAGCATCTTTTGTCCAAAGATACTATTAGCGATGTAAACTATATCATTTTGTATATTGTTTTTTTTCAGGATTCAATTTTGTTTCTGCCTTAAGTAACTGGAGTGTATTTATTCAACTAGGCGTTCCTGGTATATTTATGGTAGCTCTTGAAGAATGGTGTTTTGAAATAATGACACTGATTGCAGGTTAGTCAATTACCTTAAATTTATGTTTAAATCTTCTGTGTAACATGATTGATAAAACGAACCTAGTAGCTAATGTGGCGAATAAACAAAGGAGATTACCTTGATGGGGATTATCGAATTCTGTGGATATCTTTCGGAGTTGGTTCAAAGTTGGTTCTGTCTCCTTGTGATGGATATGAAACATGAGAACACATCAACACATGACTGGGGTTAAAGAGACTACAACTAGTGGACAGTATATATATATTTTAATACCTTAAATTCTTATTTTATCATATGATTTGAAACTCTAGAGTAATCAGTGGGTGTAAGTATGCTCCAAGAAAATTATTTAAGAGTTCCTGAAGGTTTAAAAAAATTACTGGCTAATTTATAATCCTTAAGGTCAAGTGAATATTAAAGTTAAAAGTGTAGCTAAATAATGGCTTGCGGTTGTAGAACGTTAAGGGTTAAATAGGGTGTAGAGATGTGCACCATTCAAGCCATTAAAAGTATCAAATATTTTTAGGTATTAGATAGAATCATAGTTATCAAACGGTGTGGTCAGTTTAAGAAGCTCCAATTTTGAATTCGGAATGCCTTCCAAGCCTATACTGCCTACTAGGCAATCACTTTTTGATTTGTCTGTATTTCATCAACTGCTTACGACCTGGAACATCAAAGTATGCAGTTGAATTGGAAATGTGATATATTTTAGTTCATTAGTGAAGACAGGATATCTCTGTGTAATCAATAAAGAGGTTGGATACAAGGTAGCACTGTGTAACAAGTTATCAGAATCATTTTTCATGTATTTCAAGCAACCCATCGAAGAAGACATTGTGAAGTGGTCGCGTGGTGTCATGGATTGGCAGAAGTTAAAGTTCATGGGCCATTGGATTGGGCTTAAAGGTCTATGAGCTTGCCTTGTAACCAGAAGGTCCTAGGTCCAAACCATAGCGGTGGGTGCGTGCTGTGAAGAATCCCAGACTGGGACGAAACGGCTGTCAGGTACTCCCTGCAGGTTTTCCAATAGTTTCCTAACTGATGCCAACTCATGATGAAATCCTCCAATCTATTAGAATTATATTGAAATCTCCTGAAAAATAGCAGAGGTTGTAACCTTTTATTTAGGGGGTAGAATTTTAAACTACTTAAATAATTAAAGCAACCTAATTCAGGAGAGTGCGTCGGTGGCACATCGGTTAGTACGCTCGCCGACCATGCACATGGTCCGGGGTTCGATTCCCTGCCGATGCACTCCTTTACATTGCTAAGCCAGTAATAAAATCTGGTAAGGAGGAAAGGTTAGGCATGAGGCTAGCAACCCCATCCTATAAAATAAACACTGCTACAGAAACTTCAAGCCACTAGCTTGAAGCCCTATGTTCCACTGGGAACGTGAAGGAAAAAAAATTCAGGAGAGTATGCAAAATACGGTGATTTAAGCTACACTAATGGAGCAGAAGTATTAAAAATGCCAGAGAACTCATAGAAGTCTGGTACTTGGATCAGTCTTTACCCAGCAGGCATACTGACATGGATTAAATTTATCGGTAAATAAAGAATAAGTTACACGACAAGAAAGACAAATAATAAGTTATTAAAACTGCTAGTGCCAGTGCAGATGGAAACAAGGGTAAGAAAATGGTCGAGGTTATCAGGAAAGACAATTATATCCTTCATAATAAATAATAATGTTTTCCTTCACGTTCCCAGTGGAACATAGGGCTTCAAGCTAGTGGCTTGAAGTTCCTGTAGCAGTGTTTGATTTTTACAAGATGGGGTCTCTAGCCTCATGCCCAACCTTTCCTCTTTACCAGCATTATTTCTGGCTTAGCGAGGTAAAGGAATGCGTCGGCCGAGGATCGAACCCCAGACCATGTGTATGGTCGGCGAGCGTCCTAACCGCTGCACAACCGACGCACATATCCTTCATAAGGGATTACAAAAGCTCACTGTTTACTGAAGTTAGCACTAATGTTGTTGTCTAGAAACATAATTAAACTCTAGAGAACAAATCCACACTGAAAATATCCACGTCAGCTATAAATGTTCTTATTTACTTATTCAGTGATTGTGCATTCACATACTTTCAAATAAAGTAACACAACAATGCATAATTTTAATTATTGTTTCCTTTAATTCCTAGAGGAACATAGGGCTTCAGCCATGCGTCTCCATTGCGTTCGGTTCTCTGCTAGAGTCTTCACCTGGCTCCAAGTCTGCCCACACGCTTTCATCTCCTCTTCACATGACCTCCTCCAAGTCACCCTTGCACTGACGACCAACTCGCCGCTTCCCTTTCGGGTTTCACTCGAGCAATGACTTGTCTAGTGATGTCACTTGATGGTTTCTTCAGAGTATGGCCAACTTATCTCCATTTCTTCTCACCTATTGGTTTCAGAATTAGTTCCTCATTGGTTCGCTCCCAGCGATCCCTGTTGGTAATCTTTTCTGGCCATCTGATCTTGAGTACTGAGCGAAAACAACTGCTAATGAAGGTCTGTAGTTTGTTTGAGATGCTCTTTATGACGCGCAGTGCAAGTCTCTGATCCGAATAGTAGGTAACACTGACTTCACATTGGAGTTGGAAATCCGGATATTATTTTTGATGGTGAGTGCTGTTGACCTCCACACAGACTTGAGAGTAGTGAAAGCTTGTCTTGCTTTTCCGATTCTTGCTTTGATATCCTCATCAGTTATTCTTGTAGTTGAAACGATGCTTCCCAGGTAGTCAAAGGAGGTTGTTTCTTTCAGGTTCCTCCCATTTATGCTGATTGTTGTCTGTTTTTGTTGTTGCTGTTGGTTGTGTTCCCCAGGAATCTTCATCACCTCTGTTTTCTCTGTGTTCACCTGAAGTGCTATTTTTGATGCTTCTTCTATATATATATATATTTGCATATAGAAAATTCACTGGTCGTGCATATTTGGAATAACGTTTCAAAGTCTTGGTTGTCAAATTTAGGAGTAGATAACTGCGTTTAGTTTGAGCTAGAGTTTGTGTATAGTTTTCTTATTTTGGTGTTGCAAATACCGCTAGTCATTTTGCATGAATTAAATTTACATGATTTCTGATAGAGTATGTTTTATTTTTTAGGTACCATTAGTGATGTTACGCTAGGTGCACAAGCTATAGTATTTCAGATTCAGTCTTTCATATATGTGGTAAGCTAATTAACCATGTCACTTTGCACGAGGTATTTAATGTTTTATAATATTTTATATCATAAAACATCGATTGGATTTATGCAAGTTGAAAAGACTAGTTTCGTTCAAAGTTGAATATGAACCATTCAGAGATGGAAACGGTTGATATTTGCTTCGACAGGCAGGCAGGCTGAATTATTTAGTAAAACTGTAAACTAAGGATAGACACTTGCTTTACAAGAGTTGGATGTTCCTTCTGGTAGTTCTGGCGGATAGAATGCTCGCCCACGACGCAAGTACTCCGGGTTTCAATGCTCGAATGAGAGTAGAAACTTTACTCCTTAAAAGACAACACCCCCGCTACTGTGAATGTGCAAAGGCTAAGCTTGAAGCTCTATGTTTCACTCGGAATGCAAAGGAGAAAAAAAGATGTGCAGAGACATAGAATAGGACTGTCTAGTTGAAATCGCCTCATTTATATACGAAACATTATAAAACGTTTAGTGTTTTGCTATTCAGTAGCTACAAGGATGACAGAATTCTTAGCCGGTGATTACAAAAGCTATATTAAGAGTAATAAGTATAAATTAGGCATTTTCATAATGATACATGAAGCTTATTAATGATAATAACGTTAGAAATACTTAACAACCACACAATCCTGTAATAAGGTTTCCTTGACTTTGGTAAGAAGGTATTAGCCTTTTTAACTACAGAAGCCAGTGTTATCTGTTTGATTCCTGTGTGTATGCAGACAGGGCCAATAGACGCATGACACTCGTAAATGCTTAGTGACCACTTAGTGCATTCATCATTGTCCTACTTGAAGTCAGTCGTCAATTCAAATAGCTTAGTGTTAACGTCTCTGAAGGTAGCACTGAATGACGTGGACTTGAATCTTATGGCGTGGGCATAAGTGTCTTTGAGGTTACAGTTACGCCCTACTACTGACGGGTGCACCCTGACAACTGTCTCCGACCATCTTATATCAAGACTTGTAGAATATGTTTAACCGGACGGTTTTTCTCTATCTGTTTGCTGCCAAATAGCTCTGAATTGACTTCACTTTACTATTTATATTTGATAGCATTTGGCCTTAAAATTCTAGGTTTTTCCAATGGCTCTCTAACTAATGTCAGCTCATGATAAAATCCTGTTACCGATCAAATCCCTACAAACCAACACTTGAATATCAATGAGGTTCTCACTAGCGACTTGCCCTATTCAGGTAAGTAGTTACCTGGGGTTCTAGTGAGAAGTCGTCACCAATAGGGTGCAGCAGGTTGGGTGTGAGGACAAATACTCGCCGAAGACATTGGCTAGCGGTTGCACTAAATCGTGAATTGGCAGAAGTGAGAATTCATGCACTGGCTGGCCATTGGATCGGGTCCCAGTGGCTCAATGGTCTTCGAGCTAGCTCGCCTTGTAACCAGAAGGTCCTGGATTCGAACCCTGGTGGTGGGTGCGTACTGATGAAGAGTCCCTGACTAGGCTGGCGAAACAGCTGTCCAGTACTCCCTGCAGGTTTTCCAATGGCTCTCTAACTAATGTCAGCTCATGATGAAATCTAGTTGAGCTATTTAGAATTTTCATTGACCCAGATGCTCTGACAGCAGTGATCGAACTGGTGCAGGTGGAACAAGTTCAAATTTGCATAAAACACAATTGTCATTTCTGCATATTTTCATTAATATTTATCATGGTTCTTCTTACTGTGATAGGAAAATGTCAATTGCATAACCTTTAGGAATTAATTTCAAATTGTAGGACAAATACAAATAATATGTTAAATAACGGATATTTTGAAGACCAGCTGAATAAATCCGCATCGGTACGCATTTAGAATTCGTGTAGCTAAACTTTGCTCCAAACTAACTGAAGAAAAGGACTGTTCAGGGGGGCATAACAAGTTTCAATTTTGATCACAGATTGATATCAAACAGGGAGCCATTGAAAACCGAAAGCTTTTTTTCCTAGTATGATACTCTTCAGAAGTACACACACACTGCTACACCTGGCTTCTCCAGGTTTGGATGTCAAACATGTTGACCATTCAGAAACTTGTGCTAGAATTCACTGACTTGCGAGTTCACACTTCGCTAACACCAGCCAACGTCATCGGTGAATATTTACTCTCACACCCGACAAAGTTAAGAATTCATGGGCTGTTGGGTTGCATCTCCATGGCTGACTGGTTAACGGTTTGTATCCTGAAGGCTCCGCGTTTGACCCTTGGTAGAGTTATGCGTACGGAGTGCTGAACAGTCGCAAACTGAGGTATAACAACTGACCAGTGCTTCTTGGTTTTCAGTAGTTCTCTGTCCCTTCATGATCAAACTTGCAACAAAACAAATCCCTAAGATTAACCAAACTATTGTGAAAAAGCAAGCGGTATGACGAGCAACAAATCTCTTTTTACTGCTTTAAAAGTGTGGAAGAAAGCAGTACTACTGTGAAGTTCTAATTAGCAGACAAACTGTATTATGAAGGTATAGTCTATCAGGATTCTTTTCCTTAATTCCTTCACTAAGACAATAGTTTTACAAATCGTTCCAAAGTCGGAGTAAGCAAGATTTTTCCGGCTGATTTTAGCAGTAATAATGAGAACTCATTTTGTTCATTTGAATTCCTAGTGTGACATGTGGCTTTAAGATAGATCGTCAAATTTTCTGTTGAAGTGGCGTTTAATTTTAACGGAATGGCATTGTTAGCCTCATACCTAATCTTCTCTCTCTTTACTGGTCTAACTTCCAGCTTAGAGAAGCTCAGGAGTGTGTTGACGGGGTTAGAACCCCCTGATCATATGCTTGGTTTATAATGTATCTTACTGATACTAACGTAGTGTGTTTTGTAATGGCTTAGTGAGAGAAGCCGAAGTTTGGTTATAAATCTAAGCCTCAATTTATTGTTGATCTTGCTAGTTTACACTACTCTATCTGAACTTGTGTTTCTCGATGAATGAAAAGAGAACCAAGATTTCTCAGCTGTGTATGCCTTAAACGATGGGAGTTAGTGAAAATGGTGTTTGTTTACACAGTGATTTCATTATTATAGGTAGATAAAGAAATAAATAAAATTAGTTCAAATTACACCTAGATTTGAACTAGAAAATTCAGAATTGGGAGCTTATTTTTTGATAAACTGTTCCGCGAAACCCTGAGTGATACTGAATCTGATATAATGTACTGTTGGTTTCCGTAATAGCTGGGCAGCACGTGCAACGACTGGATAGACTGTCTAGATTGTTTACCTACGGTAATGGCAACTTGAGTTATAATTCTGTCAAAACAAGATTGCTATGAAAACCAACGACTTATGATTTCTTTTTCTACGTCTTGTATCTTTGAGTGTTCAAATATTTTAATTTCTTCACTTTCAAAATAATAGATTCCCCTTGGACTGTTTACAGCAGTGAATATTCGTGTTGGTCAAAAGCTTGGAGCATTTGATCCTATGGGTGCTAGAAATGTTTATCTTACTGCACTGACAATAGTTCGTAAGTCGCCAACACAAATATATATATGTATGTTTATGCAAGTACACTCTTCTCTATTCAAGTCATATAATATCTTCTAATTAACGCTAAGAGTTATATAACAATTATCATTTCAATTGATTAAAAATGCCCATTAAAATTTTCAAAAGAATAGACACTGAACAAAGAGAACTCTTTTCGATAAATTCATCATCAGGTTCTACAATTATATATACATTATAATTAATGAATGAATTAGTCTTATGAACGACATTAATGTTTAAATAACATCAAATCAATAATATTGATAAATTACGGCTGAACAGCATCAACATCAAATAAACTGAATGTCAGAAGAATTAGGAAAGGTAATGGTACAAATTCATGAGTTTATAGTCTCTACTGAGGGCCAGGGCAGTAGTAGGGGCTGGACTTGTTTCTTTTGGACACAGAGCGCTGGTTGTTTGAGGCGAATTGCAATAGCCTCTGCTGTTTGGAGTAAGCGGTGCTTCGACGATTTTGGTAGTTTGTTGGGCACCCGGTATATTATGGAGAAGGATTCGTCTACGCTGGCTTTGTGACCGGTTTGCACCAGATGGTCTAATATGGAGCTGTTAATACTTTTAACTACACCTTTGCTTAGCCATAGTGGGATATGTTCTCGAGCACGAAAAATCAAGTTCCTAGAGCAACGGCCAACATAACTCGCTCCACAAGCGCAGTTGAATTGATAAATACAATTTGAATTATAATGTATATATAATTGTAGAACCTGATGATGAATTTATCGAAAAGAGTTCTCTTTGTTCAGTGTCTATTCTTTTGAAAATTTTAATGGGCATTTTTAATCAATTAAAATGTTGTGAGCCGCCTGTAGCGTTGAAGGTTCTCAATGAGTACCTGAAGTATAACGCTAAGCTCAATGAAACAAAGGCTACATTGGATTTTATTAACAATTGCATCGAGTTAAATCACTATCCTAAAGTTTATTACAAGTCTCTACGTCGAAGCAGAGTTCATCCCAATAGGAAAACGCTGAAACGATATGCACTAAACCAAAAAGACTCTTTATCTACTTTCATTCAAGAGAATGAAATGAATATCGCTCGTAGGCAATATGCGGTAGATGAACTGTCAGAAGATCTTCGAACGCCTTTCATGGAATACGTTACACTAGTTAGTGAACGAAGAGCACAGAAGAAGCAGATAGAGCTCATGAAAGGACTTGAAAGGAAGCCAGAGGCTGGTAAATTTCCAGCAGATCCTAAAAAGTACGTCTACAATTATGGTAGTGTTGAATTAAATAAGGTGCAACTTGAAGTACTTTCACTTGGCCTTCGATTTTGTGACAGACCGAAACGAGTTAATTACTTAGATACTGATATTGAATTTGAAAACCTATTTAGTCAAACAAGGGATCTAGCTCCATCATCCACCTTCGAACTAGAACGCTTCAAATCCAGTCTAGTGGAGTGTTGTTACCAGTACAAAAACCTCAAATGCGACAGCAAAAGTTTCTTGACAAAGGAACACAGAGAAGAACTAAAAAGACTGATAAATGATGAGAGTCTGATAATCACAAAGCCGGATAAAGGGTCAGGAGTAGTCCTTCTTGATAGAAATGACTATATTAAAAAGATGAAGGATATATTGAAGGATACACAGAAGTTTCAAAAACTTGAGGAGAAGAAAGATTTCAATAACAAAATAGAGAATGAATTAACCAGACGTTTGAAGAAACTAAGGGAGGAGCAGATAATTTCTGAAAGTTTATATGAAGAAATCAGACCAACGGGCACGTATATGCCAAGATTGTATGGCCTACCTAAAGTGCATAAACCAGGGGTACCGTTAAGACCAATACTTGATATGCAAAATTCGCCCTACCATGCTCTAGCTAGATGGTTAGTAAATATTCTCAAACCAGTGCATGAGAAGATAGTGAAATATAGCGTCAAAGATGTATTCGAATTCGTAGACAAAATAAAAGATATTAATATCAAGGAAAAAACCATGATATCTTTGGACATAACATCGTTATTCACGAATGTACCTCTAATAGAAACAGTTAATTATATATGTGAACAAGTGGACAAGCAGTCGATAAACATTGGAATCCATACTGAAATCCTAAAAGAATTGATATTAAGATGTACCATGAATGTAAACTTCAAATTTGACATCACGCTTTACAGGCAAGTGGACGGGGTGGCGATGGCCTCCCCATCGGGTCCCATTCTGGCTGATTTCTTTCTAAGTAAGCTAGAAAATGGACCTTTGAACAACCTTATCAGTAAACTCTCATTTTATTGCCGATATATGGATGACACCTTTATTCTTTGTGATAATGGTTGTGATAGGAGTACAATAATTACTGAATTCAATGAAGTACATTCGGTTATGAAATTCACATGCGAAGAGTAATCCCAAGACAGAATTGCCTTCCTGGATGTCATACTTACAAAACAACTAGATGGTAGCATAAAAAGAAGTTTACATAGAAAAAGTACATGGACGGGACAATATACACACTTTCATAGCTTCGTTCCCATCAAATAGAAAAGGAATTTGGTGAAGACCCTTAGCCACAGAGTTAGAGCTGTATGCTCTGAGGAAGTAATTAAAGATGAATTAGACATTGTATATGATACTTTAATTGAAAATGGTTATCCTGACAAGTTTATCAAGAAACATATGACGAAGAAGGCCGAAAAGGACGACCCACTATCTGTAAAGAAGAAGCCCCTTTATATACGACTACAATTCAAGGGCGATAAACCAAGTGAGTTAATTACAAAGAAATTAAGAAAAGCAGTTCGAAGGACTTTTAATGCTGGCGAACTACACATCTTATTCTCTACAAGGCCGATGGTGCTACCTCGACTGAAAGATGAAGTACCTAGACTGGCCACTTCAAATTGTATTTATCAATTCAACTGCGCTTGTGGAGCGAGTTATGTTGGCCGTTGCTCTAGGAACTTGATTTTTCGTGCTCGAGAACATATCCCACTATGGCTAAGCAAAGGTGTAGTTAAAAGTATTAACAGCTCCATATTAGACCATCTGGTGCAAACCGGTCACAAAGCCAGCGTAGACGAATCCTTCTCCATAATATACCGGGTGCCCAACAAACTACCAAAATCGTCGAAGCACCGCTTACTCCAAACAGCAGAGGCTATTGCAATTCGCCTCAAACAACCAGCGCTCTGTGTCCAAAAGAAACAAGTCCAGCCCCTACTACTGCCCTGGCCCTCAGTAGAGACTATAAACTCATGAATTTGTACCATTACCTTTCCTAATTCTTCTGACATTCAGTTTATTTGATGTTGATGCTGTTCAGCCGTAATTTATCAATATTATTGATTTGATGTTATTTAAACATTAATGTCGTTCATAAGACTAATTCATTCATTAATTATAATGTATATATAATTGTAGAACCTGATGATGAATTTATCGAAAAGAGTTCTCTTTGTTCAGTGTCTATTCTTTTGAAAATTATCATTTCATTAATTTTGCTAAGAGTTTGTTGACTTAACTTTGTTACATGGAATTGTTAAATATACAACCTTTATATGTACAAATCAAGTTCACTTGTAACAGTTTGAAACAATTGGGGCATTCGGCATATAATATTCATTATAATAAAGGCTTTTTGTATTTCCCAATGAATGAAAAACAAAACGATATTGTTTCCACTGTAGATTCGCTATGCAATACCAGTAGTTTTATCAAAGTATTATTAAACCAGAATTTACAAAATCTCAGTTTATGTATCACAATTCGATCATTGTTCCTCAGCATGGGGAAATTTTATGTTGTCAAGTTGGCCAACTGGTAAAGATAACAAAACCGAGTGTAGATTGTTGGATTTGATAAGTGTGTAAAATTATGAAAGCAGCGTGTGTTTACATAGTGAACTCGCATATCACATTCGTGTTGATTTTGTCACTTCATGAGGGAGAGAGGTGTTGTAACCAGATCAAATTCTGTTTCAGTCCTTCATTCCTATTCAGACAATTTGGATTCCACTTGATATGAAGTGCTTCTGATACTAGACGTTCTTTGTGATTTCTGTAGTCTTTCTGGATTATTTCAATATTTTCAGAATCAATTTTGTGGCCTGATTCCATAGCATGTAGACCTATGGCTGATGATTTTTCAAGTTTCCCTAGTTCATTTGGATTTTTCAGTGGTCGAACAGATGCTCTACGGTGTTCATTTCTTCTGATTTCGATTTATCGCGATGTTTGTCTGATGTATATGGCATTACATCCCACGCATTTTATTTTACGGACACAATTATAAAGAGAATCTTTGCGGATTCGGTCTTTTATATGGACAAGGTTGCTTTGCAGTGTGTTTGATGTTTTGAAGAGAACTCTGATGTCGTGCTTCCTGAGTACTCTTCTGATATCGTCTGACGTCTCTGCTCTATGTGGAATGATAACTGTTGAGGCCCATGTTTTCGGAATCCGTTTTCGACCATACTTAGTGTCAGTGTTGATTTTGTAGATGAAGTTCTTTGGGTAGTTGTTTTTATGGAGAGTCTCGGTAATGTTTGATATTTCTTCTTGTTTTTCTTTCTCATCCGTTATCAAAGAGTGTACTCATCTAAGAAGACTTGAAACAAGCGATGCCTTTGCGCTGATGGGGTGTGATGATCTGAAGTCTAAATATTTGTTGGAGTGGGTTTTTTCCTGAATATGGATATAATGAAATGTCCGTCTTCTCTCCTCTTAAGTAGGCAGTCTAGAAGTGGTAGTTCACCGACATTTGATGTTGCTTCTGAAGTAAACTGGATTCCGGGAGATAAATTGTTCAGTTTCTCCAAAAATGAACTGTGTAGATCTTGTTTTAGATCTACAAAAGTATCATTTACACATCTTAATAGAAAAACAGAATCGTTTTGTTTTTCATTCATGGGGGAATACAAAAAACCTTTATTATGATGAATATTAAGCCTAACAGTTGTTTGGCGCAGGTAGAAATAAGAAGTCTTTTGAGGAAATAATGCCTTT